ATGTTACAAGACGAATACAGCTAGGAAAAAACCAGTGAGGCCAACTGATAAGAGTAAAAAAGTAAAAATAAATATACTTTGAATGTCAAGCTCGAGATGATAAACTGAAGCTTAAGAAAAATAAATATACCTTTAAGGCAAGAAGAACATTTCTAAATTTTTAACATTACTGGTAATATCTGAGACTATCGTGACTATTTCCTCGAAAGTTAGTACTCCTTTTAAAGGATTTTCCACATTCTTCAGCAGTTTTACACATGGACCACTCCTAGCTCAGTGCTCTGAAGACACCAGTGTGTCATACAACTGGACTATAGACCCTTTCCAGAGACGAGGATTCATCTACTAAAGATACCAAAGGCCCCACCTAGTGAATTCGAGATTTTGTCAGATTTCTTCATATTGTTTCTATGAGGTTCTTTATGCTACATGCAGACAGAACTGAAAACTGGATAAAACCATAGTTTAAAAAATAAAAAAAGATACATTTGGGTGCAAACCTTCGGTGAAAAAATGACAAAAAAACCAAAAATAAATAAATAAGATCCTATCTACAAATAAAAATGGGTGATGATATATTCAAGAATACAGTTTTGCATATTCAGTGAGGAGATCACCCGCAGTGATTTGGGCAGTGCTTCTGAAACTCAAAAGTGCTTAGGAATCATCTGGGAAGTTGTTAAAATGCAGACTCCGATTCAGCAGGTGGGGCCTGAGAAACTGCACATCTAACAACCTTCCAGATAATGCCGATGCTGGGGCCCACGCCACTTTGAGTAGCAAATGTCTAGAGGACAACCCACAGAAAATCTACATCAAAAGAAGCTCTCCAGTAAAAGCTCTGGAAGGTAGTAAAGGAAGGGCTGACAGAGGGATGGCAGGGGATGGCTTGGTAGAACATTCCATTCCGAAGCTGGTGTGAGATTCTTCACCCACTCTGCATTTTCTCCTGCACTTGAGCACGTTAACTCTTTCTAGTCTTCTTTGAAAGGATGGATGGAAAATGAGGGGGAAACCATTCTACACAGAAGAGGTGAAAACAGGAAATGTTATCTTGAAGAGAAAATAACTAGCAGCACATTAGGGACCTACCCTCAAATGTCTGAAGATCTGTCCGATGGAAAGGAGTCTGGGAAGTAGGAATTAACACAGAAGTACATTTAAGCTCAGGAGGTGTAAGGGAAGAACCTGTAAACTTCATCTCCCAGTGAATGGAATTATGTAGCTGAATCAGGGGACGAAGCTTAAGTCACCCTGTGATGCAGTGGATGGGCACAGGCTTTGGTGACAGCATGGAACTCTGTGCACTTTAATTCCCTTCTAACTATAACATTCCAGGAGTCTGTGTCCCTTCACAGGGCAAAGACAAGTTCGGTCACTAAAGACTGAGGCTCTCCAGTGGCTTCTGCTGAGTGAAGCAAATTTGGAACGGACTGAGCTAGTTCACTGGGTCTTAAACATCTAGAATTTATATCAATATAGATTTTTAAATTATTAAATCAGTGGAGTGGCCAGCTTTTTTTTTTTGCTCTGTAAGGACATGAACACACACAAGCACCTTCAAAGAGTCATCCGCTAATGCCTAATATCATGAAATAAGAACAGCTTAAACTCTCACCTTCCCCCCAAAAAGCCACCAGAGCATAATCTTAAAATGAGGTCCTTTAAGTTGAATTTAGCCTAAGGTAAGCTATTGACTTTGGACTCATTTTTCTCATGTTCTGTACATTTGAGAGCTATAGGGCTAAATGACCTAAAAATATTTCACCTAATACTCTGATTCTTTGCCTTGTCTAAGAGTGATTTCATGGAAATGAACATAATTATGTGATGAATATCAACTAATAAAAGTCTTAATAGTTACAATGGTAAATCAAAATATTTATTTCCTAGTACACATCAAAAAGTTGTTTTGTTTTGTTTTTTTTGAGTTGGAGTCTCACTCTGTCGCCCAGACTGGAGCGCAGTGGCTGCTCCCAGTCACCGCAGCCTCGACCTGCTGGGCTCCGGCGATCCTTCCGCCTCAGCCTTCCAAGTAGCCGTAACTACAGGCGTGCGCTACCACGCCCGGCTGATTTTTTGATTTATCATAAAGATGAGGTC